CTGGAGAAGGAAAATACTTTATGAATACTTCATGAAATAGTTTTAATCTAACATTCAGTACAGCATTTCTCGTGAACATTTTAGATAAAGAAAAACAAAAAAAGAACCGAACTCGAGACATGATAAATGAACGTTAAAAAAATGAAATTGAAACTAACAAACATAAAAGACACTGGCCTACCACTGCTGCTTTCTGATGAGCTATTCTTCCTTACTTTACTAAAGGAGCAGTAACACCTTCAAGATTCAGCCTCCAATGTTGGAGTTCACGACTAAGGATTTCAAAGTAAAGCCAAGGAAAAAGTCTCCGTCTCCCACAGCGCTATGGAATATGCAAGTTAAAACGAAGAACACAATTGCCCATCTGATTTCAGTTTACTTAACTGAACTACTCGAATGACAATTGCAGTCTGGAGTAAGAGGTTTAAACTAAATAATTACTTCATTAATCTTTTGGAGTAATTCAGGAACTCCTCCAAGTGTCATAGAGGTCTGCTGGTAGTCCCGATGCTGCAGAATCATTTGTACCATCTCTGGGTCTCCTGTACTGACAGCCTCATGCAAAACTGAAAGAAATCCAGACACGAGCTAGTTTCAGTTGGCTTTCTGAGCAAAACACATAATGTAAAAGCAGTCAAAATACAACATCTGCAACTGAAAAGTATTAACACATGACTTCTGTTTTCCAAGTTATCTTTACCTGTCCATCCCTGTGCATTCTCTTTAGTTACGTCTGCCTTGTGTTGAAGAAGGACTTTGGCAGATTCTATATAACCCAAGGAAACAGCAAGGTGCAACAAGGTCCGGCCTCGTGGATCACGTTGATCAACATCCTGTTGAGTATCCGAGAGAGAAATAATGCTGAAGCTGTCCTACCAAATGCAGCTAATCAGAGCACACTGAGAAGAGTTTATATAAACAAAGCCTGACAGTAGTAACCCAGGAGTCAATATTCCCTAGGTATTCCCACGTATCAGTCTGTGGTGCACAGTCGACTCAATTTTCAAACACTACTGTAGTGCCCTTCTGCACTCCATACAGTGCAATCTTACTTCCCCACTGAAATAAAAAGAGAAGCAGAACAGGGCCTATAAAACTGACATGGTAAGAACTGGTATCGCTGTAAGACATGACTGAGTTCTTGTTGATGCTTCTCATTTCTTTTTCTGTAATTATTTCCCCTTCTGTCTCCCTTCAGAAGGGGTGTCTTTCAGGAGAAGGCAGGAGTTCTAGTCTGTGTGCATTGCACCATGGACAGTCAACAGCCTGAGAGACCACTAGAGGGTTTAACATTATACCACGTAATGCGGGGGGTGAAGAAGTAGCAGGACATACAACACCAATTTTGTATAGCACTTTTTGAAAGTATAGAAGCAAATGGTATTTTACAAAGCATCCATTTGACTGACACACACAGCACAATGAAGAATGAGCACACTTTGTACAAGTCACTAAAAAAAAAAAAAAAAGAAAAAACTACACAGGCATAAATATCCAAAACATGCAAGCACAACATACTCATACCTTACATATTTTTCACTATTAGCTTAGAGATTTGAAACAGAAGAGCATCTATAACTAAAGGAAAAGGGGAAAGTCAATAGCAGAATAAGAAAGGAAAGTTATTATGCAAGTTAACACGGTTATGTGACAGCATTAAGTTGGAAAGATCACACACAGAGTAGAAGCTTCATTTTAGAGCATTCTCTTTTCACTTCTGTGGTGGAATACTAATTAATTTGCTTCCCCACTTCCTACAGCTCCAATGCCTACTGCACTGACAGGTAAAGGGCTCTAAGGCGTCCCTCCCAATTGTCTTTGCTGCTGTTAACCGGTAACCACACATTGTACCCGTCATTTGCCATACCAAGTGCAGCTGGCAAGTGTCTTTTGATTCCCTCACGCACCCCTCCGACAGCAAGAAGCTTATCCCAAGGAAGCAGGAGGAAACATATCTTTGGAATACTTCAAAAAAAGAAGTTATTTAAAAGCAGATAAAGGAAGTAAGAGACAGACATATTCCATCTTAACACGTTGCTCATTTCCTTACAGTATAAAGCGTTTGAGGTAGGAAGCAGCGCTTCACAGGTGTGAACTGCAGTCTCAGACTAACAAGAAGCAGAACGATCCTTATTTAATGACAAACTTTCACAGGCGAGAACGTTATTGAAACAGAAATAAATACACAGAAGCAACGTGCCAGTAAGGTTAAAGATTATTTTAAGGAGTAAGATCACATGAATTAGCTAAGAACTAACTGCATTCCAAAGATTCTCCTAAAAACAGGACAGGAGCATGCTCTAAGCAAGCATTAGTAAATCGTGGTGTACCGTTAGAATTGCAGATGATAGTCACTAGTCAGGAGGCGGCACAGCTGATCTTTGGCTCATATACTTGTGGTGTCAGGTATAATGTAATTAATATGCTCTGCTTCTGCAAACTATACTCCACACTGGCGAATGTCAGAGCTTTTACATAGCATCTCAGCAAGAAGGATGTTTGCTGCTCGAGCTTTGCTGCAGCTTTTCAGACTGTTTCCTTGCGTCATTACCAGTTCTCGCTTAGCCGACCCAGAGAGGGAACAGCTTTGTATTTTTCTACTCTACAGCGTGAAACAATGATCCATTTTTTTTACCAGAGATGCTGAAAACATTCCAGCCAGTATAAAAACGCTGCCCCCACAGTCTTGGACAGCAATGAAGCTGTAAGAACTGCTGGTCCTCAGCAAGCTAGAGGCTGGTTTTATCTTCGGCAGCAGCAGCCACCTTTTCTGCATGTTGACTTCCCATTAAGGTAAGCAGTATTTATTGCTTTCCTGGCACAGAAAAAAAATTAGTGTCCATCATATCTACTCTTCCTGATCTGTTTCAAAGACTCCTAAAACTTCCCATAGAGCTATCCTGCAACCTGCACTCGAATGCTCTGAGCACAGCTTTACAGATAAGAAGTCAATGTTTAATATCTTACATAACAAAAAGTATATTCCTACGCCTTCTTACATCACTCCCGCAACCACAAATAAATAGGTAAAGAAGCGCAGCAATCCCACAGGCCCAGCAAACAGACCTGGGAGTACCACCAAGGTTACTTCTCCCTAGAAGGGCGGTAAGCGAGGGGCACCAAGCCCCGTGCCAGGGCACGGGCTCTTTTGGGGCCGCCAGCCCCACAGCAGCCCCTCCACCAGCCGGCCAGGCACCCCGGTTACCTTGTCCTGCAGCTCCTCGTCCAGCCGCCTGTAGTCATTATTCCAGACCAGGACGTGCAGGGGAAACGCGCTGCTGGCCCTGCCAGGGGAACTCATCATGCCACACACCTGCAGGAGGGGGGGAAGCAGGGTGCCTACCCTCACTGTTCCCCCCCCCCTCTTTGTTTTGGAGACCCCAGGTTACTCAAGCCTTGACCCCCTTGAGCTTCTCCTCTCTCCTGGCACCCACCAGCCCCAGGTGGTGGTGGGGGACACTGGGCCACAACTCCCTACGAACCCCCTTCACCCTGCTCCAAGGGGTGCCCCGTGCAAAATCACACACTCCTGGGGGTCCCCTGCTCCTGGGCCCGGCCCGCCCCGGCCCGGCCCACCCCACCCCACCCTCTCGGGGGTCTCCCCTGCTCTTGGTGCCCCCCACAGCCCCACGCTCCTGGGGACCTGCCGCTCCCCTCGCCCCCACGCTCCTGAGGGCCGCCCCCGGGCCCACACACCC